CATTATTCTGATTTATGAAGGTTTCGGAATACAGGGACAAACTTGGAGAATTTAAAATGAAGATGTGAAGACAGATACAAGATCTCAATTCAATTTATGATCACATTTTCAGTTAGTATTTCTTGTGTAGATCACTCGGCTTATTATATTTATCCAACCAGTTGGATTTTGCAGTCTGAAAGACAAGCTGAAATATGCTATTTTTCCCCACATCCACTTTCTATTCACATTTTTTTTTTTGAGAGATTTTTGTTATAGGGTGCGTGCACTCACCAGAGAGACAAGAGAGAGAAGGAGACAGAAAGCGAGAAATCACCCCCCCCCCCAGGGTGGGGGAGATGGCAATGCTGCAATCTCTTCTCCTCTACTCTCCTCTTGGGATTTTGGGCATGTACACACATGCACCCAGTATGAGTTTTAAGCCACCAGGTCCAGGACTACATGAGAGTCTAGCAATATAACATTTTGTATCATTTAAAAATTACTAGAGTAATGTATTTCTTCTAATGAAAAGTTGGCAATTTTTACACAGAAAAACAGAAAAATACATCATGACTTTCTCGATTACCCAACAGAAAATTCTCTGTGGCACAAATGTTTTAGAATTATCAACCTAGAATTGTCCTATTTGTTTGTTTCTTTTAACTCTTATTTATTTATTTCTTCCATTAGCAAGAGAGACAGAGAGGGAGAGAAAGGGCGAGCTATCCCCAACTAGGTCTTTGCATTACAATCCCCACCAGCTTCAGCCAGCCCCAGATCACAGGCACACATATCTTGGTGTGTTCAGGGACGTTTCCAAATGCATAGCCCAAACCCTGCCATGTGGGTCAGCCTCACAGAGCATCATATTACTGCTGCGCCACTACCTAGTCCCCCTGTCCTACTTGTTTCCTTTTTTCATTGAACACATCCTTCGTAACTACATAAATGAACTGGTGATCTCATTTCATAGTGCATGAATATATACAGCCTTTTCAAAACTAAGTTAACATGCTTGAGAAATTAGAGCTGGAGCTGTGGTACACAAAAAAGAAAATGAGAAATTTTAAAATGCTCATTTGGCTTATTTTTCAGTCACTAAACTGTCAAAATTTAACTGACTAAAACTATGACACACAACAGATCATTTATCCGGGGTCTTGAATCTGGCCAGAGAAGTTGGTAGTCCCCGTGGGTACACACTGTAAGAGGCAGTGGCTCTCAGGTCCAATTCCGCACTGTGCGCCAATCTGAGAGTAAGTACCTCCCTAGATTTTGCGCCCTAGGTGCCTGGCTTGACTCACCTAGTCCCAGCCCTGATTTTCACTTTCAAAAATATTCATCAAAGTGATTCTTTTTTAAAATTTTATTTATTTCTTCATTTATTTTAATTTGACCAGAGAGAGACACATACAGAGAGAAAGAGAGAGAGAGAGAGAGAGAGAGAGAGAAAGAGCGAGAGCGAGAGAGAGAGAGAGAGAGAAAGAAGCCACCAGGTCTGGGACTCGAACCGTGATTGGCCGTGTGGGAATGTCCACAGCCTTAACCACCATGCCACCTGCTGGCCCCTATCAAAGTTATTCTTATCCAGCTGTTATCTATGGCTACCTGAGCCTCAGACCCCTAAGGTGAATCAATCGGTCCTGCAGACCCTTTGTTTCATCCAGTGAATGGCTCAGCATTTCCAGGGGTCGCCAGCTGTCCTCTTTTCCATACGAGCAGTCTGCACCGGCCTTTGCCTTGGATATGCTACCCTGGTTGGTACCGAATAATGGTTTCTCAGGAAAAAAAAATTAAAACTTACATCAGACTTGTTTTACTAAACTTTAATTTTTACTTTGTTTTGAAAGTAAAAAAAGTTGCTTTTCTTTATGGCATTATAAAAAGCCACAACATTGGATTATTAAAATATAATTTTTCAGATGACGACATACTGTGAAAGGCATAAAAATTAACTGACCTATTTAATTATTCATCCATACAAATTTCATGATGCTATGTAGTAGAAGGCAATTTACATGGATAGATTCATCTTGCTAGCATTTAATTTTTATGTTTAAACATATTTTCTTTTCCTTTATTTTTTAGACCATCTTAAATTTTTAATCCTTTCTTTACGGGTTACCTAGACCACTTTCTTTCTTTTTTTTTTTTGCTATAGGGTGCCTGCGCTCGCCAGACAGACAGAGAGAGACAGAGAGACAGAAAGTGAGAAATCAACCCCCAGGGGGGATGGTCACGCCGCAATCCCTTCTCCTCCATTCTCCTCTCGGGATCTTGGGCACGCAC